CAGATGTGACGCTAACTAAAGCCCAGATGATCAATAAAACTGTCTTTTTAGGTTGACTAATTGGTGGACACGACCTCTGGGAAATGTTAAAGAGCTACAACCGTTCAGTGACATTTTAAATGCAAAGCAGTTGTTAGTTGCAGTATGGGATCAACCACTGAGGCCCTTAATTATTATTTTGGGATTCTCCGGCAGCAGCTGTTGTAATTAACGGGCCGCTGATTGGTAGTCATTTGGAACGTGACCATTTATTCTCCATCATGTTTGTGTGTGCGCTGTAACTTTATCCATTGCTGTGTATCACCAAGTCTGCTGTCACTCCCTCCCACTGCCTCCATCACCCAACAGATTTATGTTAAGTTGTCTTCCATCCACATTTTGGTTAAACTAATGTCTGTTTTTTTCTGTCTCTTGTCTCCTCTGTTTTTTGTTTTGTGTGTGTGTGTTTGTCTGTTGTCGTCCTGTGCGGCTGCGGCTTCACCTGCTGCTGCTGCTGATGCTGCTGCTGCTGCTGCTGATGCTGCCCACTATACACCAACCCCACTGCCCGCAAACCCACCACTGCCAACATCTGGTGAACCACACATGGCGGACACCCCTTCGTCCCCTTTAATCTCTATCCAAAATCCTCTGACACGTTTTCCAATCCCTTTCATTTTCTGTCTTTTCCTCTATTTTTATCTGCTATCACTGTCTTGCCCTCCCCCCTCATCTCCACCCTTTCCCCCTGCTAGCAGCACGCAGAGTTGAGAGAGCAGCATGCCACCTCCGGTAAGCCAGTGACCTTTCAGAGGAAGGGCTAAGGCCAGTGTACCCAGTCAGCAAACTGGCCAGGACTGATATTTAGGCTGAAATTGATTAGAAAAGAATGCACGTCCTCTGCTTTTCCCAAGTGTTGAGTATTTAAAGTCAGTTTTAGTGGTTAGTTAATTATGTATTTTGGGAAAGTGTGTCACTGTCCACTTCATATATGGCTTCACAACAAAATGTATCTGCATTTGGAAAAGCAAACAAAGTCCATTCTTTTACACAAAGTGCAAAGATGAACTTTTTATATGTAGTATATAAACTGATATTAAGAACGCTCACCCTGAAGCAAAACGATGTGATTGTCTTTCCTTTGTCTAATATGTAAATTCCACTCTCAAATATAGCACAGAGCCATAAGGACTGGTTCACACATAGTGCTTTTCTACTCTTCTTGAGAACTTGAAGAGCTTTATAAAAAATGTCCCATAAAGCACTTTTGTCTACACCCAGGTGCTTCCTGTGTGACATTCCCACACCTTCCTACTCTGATGAATGAATTGTAGAGCCATTAGGTGTTTAATGTCTTGCCCAAGACTGGCAACTGAAACCATTTTAACTAAAACAATAACTACTGCTGTTGCAGGATGGTGTGTGTAAAAATAAATGAGTAAACACATTATTTATAGAGATGGGATAACATGAGACATTTAGCTGCTGACCCCAGTACGACCAGAGCAGTTGTTGTTTTTTCTTGTTATAAATATTTTTAGAACCATAAATGGTAGAAGTGTTTTTATACTTATGCATGAGTCCTGTTTTGTTTTTTTAATGCAATGTGATTGGTCACACTTCATCCAAGATGGGCTCCCATTGCTAAGCAATAACTTGCCTGCCTGCTTCATTAGGGCTCAGTAAACAAGGTGGAGTAATAGGGGT